TATCAGATAGAGCTGGAGAAGGCCGTGCGCAACGGCGAGGTGCAGAATGGCGTCGAGTTCTACATCTGCAAGGCTGCAGAACAAGTGCTGTTGCGGCTATGGGCAGGAGATCAAGGTCAAGAACACAGGAAAGCGCGGCCGGCGCAACATGGAAGTGACTGAGGGGTTTGTGTCAGAGCCGCGGCGGAAACTCATTCAGACCTCGTTTTCAGACAACAGCTGCAAGTCTGCACTGTTAGAGACCCCCCTGGCGCTGCCTTGTCTTGCGCACGCAAACTACTTTTGCCTTGCAAGACTTGCAGAAAGGCACCAAGGTGCTGCCGCCCCGCTGCGGACAAAGGCAGACCACAATCAGCGGCAGCTCCAAGAGCAACCTGCGTCACGCGGTGATGCTCCTCGAGCAGAATACAAAGCGGCGGTCAAATCCTTGCGCGGCGCATCCACAAGCGTCTCTCGGACGGCTCATTTTTGCTGTTGTTGCTGCTGTCTTCAGTTGCGGCAACTCTTGCAGCTCGCGCCGGCAGACGCGCAAGGACAAGAAGAAGACGAGACGGATGTTCACTGACGGAATTAATTGAGGGAACCTGGCTGAGAGAGTAGTTGAGGCAGCCTGGCTGAGAGAGCTCAGCTTTTTTGGGAAACTTTAACTTGATTGGGAGGACCTTGCTGAGAGAGCGTGGCTTGACAAAGCGACTTGCTGAGGCCTTTCGAGCCCCAGAAGCTCGCACCAATGAAGAAGCATCGTGGCGGAGTGCGGCAAAGAGCGCTAGCAGCCGCGACAAAACCAGCGCCGCGCAGGGTGGTGAGTTGCTTGCGCTGCTTCTGCGCTGTGGACACGGCTGCGTCCGGTGGCCAACCTTCCGGCGGCCAACCTTCCGGGCAGCTCAAGCTCCTGCCTTTCATGGACGGAGCAAGGCAGCAGCCCCATAGCCAAGAGACTTGGCATTCACCGCAGCTGGCATTGCCTGATAATGACAAGCTCGTGCGCTTGACCCTCAGCAAGGTCCTGGAATAGACCGCGAGGATACCCTGACCATGCCAGCTCTTGCAGCCTGCGTTTCATAGTTATTCCACTCCACAATTTGAGTGAGAAGCGAGGGAATCAATAAAGTTCTGCGATTGACTTTGTCCGGGTCCCTGCTTTGCTGCAGAACACGTTGCACGCGCTAAGCTTAGCGCCGAGCTCAGGCCACCTGAAAAGGGCAGGCCTGACAAGTCGCAAGACAGCTGCCACACCCGTGGCTGGCGCCAAGATCGGCAGCAAAGTTAGCCGACTCACAGGAATGGCTAGCTGCCACGCGACCCATGACATGTTCACTGGCGGACTCAGCAATCTCATGAAGCCTTTACCAGCTCACGAATGTCGCTTTTTCTGCAAACTGAGGCGTCTCTGATGCGCCTGCTCGCAGACAAAACCCAGCACATCTACGCCAAACCTGCAAGCTGACAGAAAGTTAGCAGCTGAGGTCGACGACTCTAAACCCTGTAAGATGCGAATACAAGTGCTGGCACCGTTCCAGAACTGCATTCAAAATCTTGACGCACTCTTTTTCTTTCTCTACAGGCTCCACCAAATGCATTGTAAAACGAATCAACTACTCATCCGCCCCCCTTCATCGGAGGTGTCGGGCGCTACGGCGACGTCTGCCACAGCCTTCCTTGCAGCCCAAGCTGCTTGAGGAGCTATGAGTTTGCCAGTTCTTTGGCCCCACGCAACTTGGCTTGCACTCACAGCCCGCCAGTCCACAAGCTAAGATGCGCACGATTGGCTTATATTGCTGGTGAAAGTGCAAACTCAAGCCACGGGAGGTGAGAAAAGGGGCGGGCTGCTTTTGCCTTTGACGCGCCTTGCGGCTCTCCTGCATATCACAAGCCAGGCCAAAGGAAACTGGGTGGCCGCGCAGCAGCAAAGGACTGCGCGCAGACTGGGCAAGCAAACTCTAAGGAAGGGTGCAGCGCGCCGTGCTGCGTCTGCTTGGCCACTGCGCACTTGCGCAGAGCCTTTTCTATGGCGTTCGCCGGCTTCAGGCCGCGCGCGCAAGTCGGGCCTTGGCATCAAGTCTTCTCTAGCACGCGCCGACGCTTTGCCCGCAGCATGTGCATTCAACAACTCTCGCCAAAGACTCTCAACAAGTAACAATGTGGAAATCTGTGATGTGGACAAGCGAGGCTGATATGGACTGCTCTCTACAACTCAAAAAGCTCTCGTAAAGCACGTGAGACTTGTAGCCTTAAGCGCTTGTGCCGGGGAGCAAATGCTTGTCGTGAGAAAGAACTCGTATGAACATAAGACATGTCGAAAGAGACACATCACCAAGATGTAGCCCTCGACAAGTATAACGCTCTCCCAGCCCAGCGTGGAAACAGTGGCTTTGGGGGATGGGTGAGGAAGTATTCCGCTGAAGGGGAAGACATCCCATGCGCTGTCTGAATTTGACGCGAAGCAGAAAGATGCGACTGCGGTCCCAGACTTGCGTTTTGACAAGGCAAGCTTGAAAGCTTCTGTCACGGCACGCCAAGCGGCGCTGAAAGAGGCTCGGCGCAACTTGCCGAAGCACGCCGCCTTGGAGGGAGAAGGAAGAAGGGCAAGGCCTCCGGCCCTGTCAAAAAACAGGATGAGCGCCGCGGCGCTCTCCCGCGTAGCTTGTGAGCCGGGCGCTGAATTCGGCGCGCGCTGCGTGCGTGCATGCTGCGCGACTGTTCGACAGTCTGCGTCTGGCGACGCGGCATGAAAGCGTGCGCAGTGACTTGCAGCGACGCTGCTCAAGCCACGCGCGCAGTCTTCGAGACTACAGACACACATGCGGGCTATTTTTCAGAGACGGGCAAGTCAGCCCCACATGTGTGTGAAGGACAGTTGTGTTGCCTGTTGACTCCACGCATGGCTGCATCCTCGCGGAAAAGATCGCGAGCTCCGGCGAGAAAACGAGGGAGTGCATGCAAGTCCCCGGCATTTTGCCTGCGCAAGCGCTCCCCTGTCAAAAATCCCGTCGGCTCAAGGTGAGTGCTTCTGGCCGCTATCCTGCCAAAGCTCGTGGCCTTTGCGCGCTCTACGTGCCCAGCCTATGCGACAGCGTTGCACGCGGGTCTTGAGGGAGGAGCCTGCGGTTGAGGGGCTATCTTGCGACGAAGTTCAAGGGCAACGTTTTGGCCACTAAGAAGTCGAAAAAGAGCAGTCTTTTCTGACTATGGTTCTCTCAGCTTCGGGCCTACCGTCTGGAGTCTGTGCGGTTGATGGTCTCCGCACCACAGCACGGAGTGCTGGGTGGCCTGAGCACTGTGACTTGCTTGGCTCGTCCGCTTCATGTTGCGGACATGAACTTGCCGCCAAGGCGCGCGAGTTCACTTCCGCCTTCGGCCGCGGGTGCGTTTCCTAGCTGACGGCGATGCCGAGCGGGCGGCGTTGCGGCAGGCGCCAGTGGCCTGAAGACTTGCTGCGTGCTCCTCCACGGGGCCCAGGATCAGCAGTTCGTGGATGTCGCAAAGCCGGACGCCTTGAGGTTTCGCGCTGTGACAGATCGTGACTATCTGCAGGCGGCGGATGCGCTTCGTGCGCCCGCCGCGCGTGTCGAAAAGTCCTCCGGCATTCGGCAAGTGGAGCGCGGCCTTTTTGCGCGATCCGTCCGCCTGACAGACTTGCCACCAGGCCACGTAGCATCCAACACGACGCGTGTGTACTTTCAGAACGGAAGAGTTGCCTGCGAGCTGCAGCGCCGCTCTGCGCGCATCTAGACCCAAGTTTAGATTGCCCGCGCTGGCGGGTGTGGCTGCGCGCGACGGCTGGGCTGGGCCCGGCGCGTCGAGGAGCCACTCCGCCGGGTATCTGCGCACGCTTTTCCAGGAGAAGTACTTTCAGGATAGTGGCCACAAGGGAAAGCCGAGGAGCAATGGGCAGACCTTAGACATTTACAAGCTCCGACAAGTTTGAGACTCACCCAAACTCCCTACCAAGACTACTCACACCGAGACCCGCATCACCCACGCACAGACAATTGTACTACGTGTTGCAGGAGCTGGCAGCTCACCCACTCCTCTTACTTGCCGAGACGCCCATGTCTCCAAGACAGAGTTGATCAGCTGAAGCTTGTGCGATGACCATGTCAAGCCCGCGCACGAGCGCCTCAAGGCCGCCCTTCATTGCCCAAACCCTCGGACTGCGAAGGCCATGCGTTTGGCAGCCGCCACACCAGTTCCCTAAGGCAAGCGTGCCTGGGAGAGCATCTGGCAGCTTTGCGATAGCTATCTCTGCTGGGAGGCCGCGCCCGAAGAGCACATGCTGATGCCGCAGCGGTGGCGCTTTGAGGGACGGCGTGCGATTTGCTTGCGCTAGCCGTGCGCAAGACTGCTTTGAACCAAAAAAGCCGCGGCTCGTTTTTTTGGGGTCAGTGTACCCGCCTACCTCCTCGAGTCCAAAAAACCTTGACGAAATGAAACATGTGAAGCTGCGCAGAACGAACATGGGGTCCGCGGAACGCGACTACTTACGAACTACTTATAAGTACACTTATAACTAGACTTCATGTTGTCCGTAAGTTCATCTTAAGTTCCATAACAGCACTTATAAGTAGGCGGGGCTCATGGTAAGAGCTGCGTAAGGCTAGCTTTGAAGCCAGGCAACGTATAAGCTTAGCTGCGTAAGCTACACAAGCTGCGTCGGCCGTCTAGGCTGCGTGCGGCCCGCTGCGTGAGCTTGGCTGCGTGAGCTCTACGTGCAATTGCTGCGCAATCGCTGCGCAAGCAAGGCTGCACGCAGCTGAGCTGCGACGGCAATCGCTGCGTGATCGCGCTGCGCTAGCAAAGCTGTCCACTGCTAAGCTGCGAGCGTAAGGTTGTTCAACCAGCAACTTTTTCCAAAGAGCCCCTCTCATGCTTTCGGGAAAAACGCACGCGAAAACACACACGCTTACACATTGAAACGTCAGGCAACTGAGTGGTTGTGATAAGAGGTGAATGGCGACGTGAATGCTTGAATCAAACCAGCGACAATCCATGAACGTGGCCTCCCAGCACGCGTTTGTGGTAGCCCAGGTCGTAGCACGCTTGGCCTGAGGTATGCGAGTTGGCCCGCCAAAGTTACTGTTCACTCCGATCAGCTCAAGTAATGCGAGCGCTTGAAATTAGTTGGGCCAGTTCATTGTCTTCAAGTTGAAAGCTGATTGCCCTTAGCATGCGTGTATCAGTGAAACCACTAACCGCTTGGCCTGAAGAGCAATGCTGTTCCTAAGGCGAACCCTGGCCGCACGCAAATCCAACAACACGAAGAACATGCTGACGGCTTTGTGGCTGGGCAGCCCCGCTGGACGTAATGCAACATATGCGCTTCAAACCTGCATCGCCCTTGTCACTGCCTTGACTGTTTTCTACAACACTCCGCCCGTGACTCAACCGTAGTCACATCGCCTGCGCAATGTGGCTGCTTCCTGGGAAAGCAAACGAACACACAGGCTCGAAAGCTCCATGTGCTAGGACTAAAGGCCTCATATGGCCTCATACTACTGCCTCAAGCAGCACGAGACACCAAAACCAGCTGGGATCCGCCGCAAAGGTGAAAGCCAGTGGAACTTCTGCAGTCCACATCCTCAGCTGTACACCCCCAATTGACACTTACCACTGGGTCAAACGTTGCCATCAAGGTTGGAATGGCATTGCAACTGGGAACTGCGAGCAGCAGCAAATCGTGGCGCAAATCGTCTTACTGCACTTGCCTGTCAAAGAAGTGTCTGGCCTTCCCAGCGGTCACTTGGAATTGATATGAACTTTTGCCACTGGATTTTGCATTGACACTTTTGCATTGTCTTTTGGTCACGCCTTGAGATAGACGCTCCTATAAGCTGTCAAACTTCGGCAAATGAAAGAGCCTCTTTCAGGAAAGTTGCTGGTTTCCAAACAAAGGCCCGGAATTGGAAGAAACACATCTGCAAGAGGCTGGTCGCCAGAATCAGTACGGTTGGACATGACCCTTGCACCCTGCCCCATCTGTGCCTCATAAGCTGCACCACGAATGGGCCACAGTCCGCAGCCATCGCAGCCTGTCAACGCTTGAAACAGCTTGCTCTGGGCTCGGTATCACAGGTTACCGTGCGCGCTTGCTTGCTGGCCGGCTTGCTTGCTTGCTTGGTTGTCGTCTGCTGGCCACCGCTCATGCACTGTTTTGCGGTACTCTTTGGTGCTTCTGATGTCTTGATGCTGTTCTTCTCTCCGTTTCTTTCCGGCTCTGCGCGCTCGATTGGGGCATGGCTTGGGCAAGCGGGGAATCAGATCAATTAGTGGCCCTGAAGAAACGGGCGCAGCTGCACTTGTTAAAGCCCGAGTTTGCCACGGCACTTCTGAACATTGATTTGTTCTTGTCGCAAAGGTCGCATGAAAGTGGCTTGCCTGGCTCCAAGCAAATGTGACGCTAACTGAGCCACAACTACGCAAGTGCTCGCGGGCTCATCTGAATTCCTTCGTGTAAAGCCGCCTTGTAGCTAGCAGTAGTATGTTGACCATTGGGTTTCAAGCAAATCAAAGTCCAAAGAGCACGTTGGTGTCTTCACCATAGAACAAGCTGGTAAAAACTTCCAATCCCATATCAAAAAGGCAAGAAGACCCCTGAAGCCCTGTTTTCCATCACAAGACACCCAAGCAGATTTCCAACGTAACTTCCTCACAGCATGGCTCTAGTGAAGCGACGGGTTCAAAGTACGCACTGCGCATTCAGATAGGTTCAAACTCGAATTGAAAATAATGATCTTTCCTGCAACGTCCAATCCCTCGCGCGCAGCAAGTATACTAAGTGTGTCCTCCATTTGAATCGGCGAGCGCCTGCTGTTTTGCTTCTGAGCCAACGGGGAAGCTACGCGAGAAGAGAAGTGTGGGAAACAGAAATCATAAAATCTTAGCCTAGCCCCAGATGCACGTGCTCGTCCGCGGCGAAGTCTCCGCAGGTGGGCTGCGGTACGAGCTCAACACCTGGCGGAATTGAGTGAACAAAATACGCAACGCGCGCCTAGATTCTGAGAAGAAAAAGCGAAAATCTTCTCGGTGAGTTTTTCAGGAGACACACCCTTACTTGGGGACCTTTTGACGCACCCGGCAACACTATGTGCTTTCAAGGCGATATCATGTGCTCAGCAATCAGCTAAGACTCGTTGTATTTTTCTAGCATCATTCCTGCGGGGACGGAAACATGTTGGCAACAAACTTTGGGCTCGCACGCGCAGACACACATACACGTATTACACTGGCACAAACACAGTGACATCAAGACCAAACGACACACCGCTGGTGGCCAACGTGGTTTCAACCAGAACGACCCACTCTCACGCAGCTCATGATAACCTCAGCATGGCTGCTTGCAGAGACTTCGTACGATTAGCTCTGCAACCGTTGCGCGGTATGCGCTTGTCCCTTTTGCAGGGTGAGAACGCTGGTTTAATCAAGTTTAATCACAGCAGTCAGGCGCTGTGTTGCCCTCTAAGGAATTGCTGAATTGCGAATCTGATGAAATGCCAGCACAAGATATGGCTACATGGCAGCTCTTCTGGGCATTGACTCTCGGCCCAGGATCGTGTGAATGGCACGCATCTGCACCAAAAGCAGAACTCAAAACTGCGCAACTTTGCTACAAGCTGAACACCAGTGCAACGATAACAACGACACCCATCCTCAATGTCAGCCCCTGACATGTGCAATTAATGGCAGACATCTTGCTCTGGCGCGGCGCTACATGCCAGGCAGGCTTGCTTTCTTGGCTTCCAAAGCCTCTGACAAGGCGCGAGTGTCTTTTTTGCACAGGACAAGCTGTAGAGTTCAACCCGAATCCTGGGACTCTGATAACAAGGCTTTCAAGCTCAACGCTGGTAGAAGCATAAAATGACCCAAGATGACTTCGAGCAATGACCTTGTTCTGTTTTGAAGATTTCAACATTCAGCTCATAATCACGACAGTCCCACACGCTCAAATGTGCCCCGCCTGCCAAATCAGAGGAAGTTTGCCAAAAAAACGAGATGAAGAGGAAAAATGAATGTGTGCGAGAACACTCTGCGTGTTTCGGCGTCTCCGACAAGCTGAAGGCCAGCTGTGTCGAGACGCCCGACGACGGGCTCGGAACGGACTCGGAACGGGCTCAGAGCGGGTTCAGAACGGGCGCGAGCGCGGGCCAATTGGCACGGGGACGCGCAGCCTTTTCGCAACATCAGCTTTGCGTGGCAGGCGCAACGCTTTGACGAGCCGAGATGCTGTTGCAGCGCTCCTCAGCATCCCTGAACCTCTCAACTACCCTAAGCCAACCCTAAATCAACCCAAACCAGCCCTACAGCAACCCTCAACCATCCCAACACCAAGCCTAAACCAACCCTAAACACCCTGAACCAAACGCTGAATCCAACCCTAAACACCAACCAGCCCTAAACCTAACTTTCAACCAACCCATAGCCAACCCTAAATCACTTGAACCAGCTTAAGACCGCTGCGGAGTCACATGCAGCTGGTCATGCGCCAAACGCAAGCCAAAGTCTACGCTCGTCGGTCAAACATCCCCCCCCCGCAAGAGGCGCGGTCTGCTGGTGCGACGGGCGCTGTCTGGGCGGCCTGATTGAAGTTGCATCGGGGGGGAAGGTGCTGGGAAAAGGGGCCAACCTTGGGGTGTCGAGCAAATACAACTAATTTCTGAAGGCACCGTCAAATTCACAATTCGTACCCTTTTGTCCAGAACCAACACCACCAATTTCAAGGAAACCCTGCCCAGTTAGACGAAAACTTAGCCTCTATCTCTGTGGAGGTTTAATCCGGCCAATAGTCATGTAACAAACCACGTCACTCTTCATGTAAGTACTCATGTGAACAAAAACAGGCCTTAAATAAACACGTAAAAGATCATGTAAACAATGTGTGCCTCAGCGTTGGAAGCTGGAAGCTGCACCATTTGCCATGTAACAGGCCTGAACAGAGATAAAGGGCGCATAATCAGACAAGCCAATGGCAAAACATTGGCAAGAAGAAGGCAAGGCTCCAACGCGGCCCTCCCATCTCCATAGCAAGTGCCCAAGGTGTTGATTGGATGATCTTTGTTAAATCCTTAGCAGCTACCATAGAAATTTTAGGAGGCCAAACATCTTGAGTCTTAAGCACGTGGTTGGTAAGCCTAAGCATGCGTGAGCAGAAGCAAGAGCAATTCCTGAGCATGCAGCTGCAATCTTCGGAATAGTTCCTAGTACGCAGCTCCAATGTCTCCGAACAGTTCAGAACGGTTCAGGGTATGATGCTGCAATCCCTCCTGAACGGTTCAGCACGGTTCAGGGCATGCTGCTTGCAATTCTTCCTGAACGGTTCAGAACGGTTCAGGGTATGCTGCTGCGATCCCTCCTGAACGGTTCAGAACGGTGCATAGTACGATGCTGCAACCCTTCCTGGGCGGTTCAGAGCGGTTCCTGAGAAGCTTTAGTGACGAACGGTTCAGAACGGTTCAGAACGGTTCTGAACTATACGCCTGCTCTGCGCGCTGCTTGCTAGACGGGCTCCAGAACGGCTCAGAACGGTTCAGGGGCATGGGTTCCAATGATGCCGGAACGGCTCAGAACGGTTCAGGGGCACGCGTTCCAATGCCTCCGGAACGGTTCAGAACGGCTCAGGGGCATGCAGTTTGGTTGCCACCGTTCCTCGGAACGGTTCCTAGTCCTAGGTAAAAGGCCAGACCGGCATCGGAGCATTGAAAGCGATCCGAAATCTCAAAGTACAAAAAGGCAAAGAGCTGTCTGAAAATTGCGCGAAAACTTACGCAAACATTTACGCAGACAAAGGCTGGCTGAACCGTTCTGAACCGTTCAGGGGACACATTTTGAACATGGAAGTCCGTCCGCAGAACTTGCGTGCACATGTGACAGCATCGATCGCTCCTCTTTTCCGGCCTTTTCTCAACTGGATTTCTGGGATCGGTTCTTGGATTCCCTGGGTCTTGCGGACTAACAAGGCGAAGCCGCGGCAGAGAACAAATCAACGCCCGACAGTACCACAACCTTGCAAGCGAAGCTGCAAGAAGGCAAGGCTTGAAATCGTCCTTTGCAACTCCTGGCTGGTTGGATCAGTGGCCACGCAGAGACAACCGCGTGAAGAGTCGTGTGTGCATGTGCGTTTGTGTGTGTGGGTGGTGTCTGTGTGTCTGTGCGCCAGGTGCGTGTTAGGAATATAGACGCTAGTTAATCTTGATGTTCTTCAAGATTGGCCCTCGCAAGGTCGCCCAACAATAAGCTGACTAAGTCTTGATTGTTGGAAAGAGCCCTCAAAGTTTCTTAATGTTCTTCACGCAGCTGACATAAGCAATGACCGGACATACCGGACGTTCTATGACAAGACGCAGTGTTCCTAGTCCTCGCTTCCTACAGCATCTCCTTTCTCATGATCACAAAACACACATGTATCTTGGTGGAGGTTCTGGCTGCCGGGGGTTAGCATGGCAACGCAACCCAAGCGCAAGCATGGGCGCACGTGCTTTTGCGTCCGGAGCTTTTTGGCTTTGCCAACGACACACATGCTCGCGAGCAAAAAAAACATGTGGCTCGCAGCTACCAGTACGCATGAACATTAATGCCAAAGATGTCGCGGCTCTTCCAATGGTTTATGACTCATGATGCTTTACCTTCCTTCAGTGATATGAGCAGGTGAAATTCGCGAAGGGGAAGATTCTCGTCAATACATATCCCTGTCCATGAGGGACACTAAGTCCAGCTCATGCATGGTCACTCAAGATCGGGCAAGCGAAAACGAATTACAACTATGTACCTCACCATTTACCATAATATTTACGGACTCTTTTTATTCAGGGCCAGGCCAACCAGAAAGCTTGATTTATTTGCGTGATTGGTTACGCTTTTCTTTTCGGGTACGGCGAAAACGACAGAACCCCCTACTTATAGAGGCTAAGTTTTTGTTTAACTGCAAAGTGTTTAAAAAATCAATGCTGTCCAGGCACACTAGGACCGTATCATTTACCAAGTTCCAGGCTCCCGAGAAAAACATTTCGAGGCAAACTCGGAAAAAGGCAGTGTGTGCTTGGAATTGGTTGTATTTTCATGAAACTGCGGTGTGATGCCGTATTTTTGTCAAAAAAATGTACGGTCCCAGCGCGCACGGTTTCAATTGAATTCGTAGTGTCAAAATTCAAAGGAAATGTCAAGGAGAGCGCAAAATTCGAGGTGCCTGGGACCACCTTGTTGTTTTCTCCGGAAAAGGTGCTTGTTCCTCCGCGACAATGTTTTTGACTTTGCGCCGGCGCTTTTGCCTTTCGTGATTAGGCGCCTTAGGCGCCGCCTAGCCGCAAACATATTTACAGACACTGGCCTTGCTGAACAACTGATATTTTAGGAAGTCGGTGTCCATCCCGTTGTACCATCCTTTCAGTTGCACGGCGTGACAGCTGTCTGACTATCGCTCGTTTGAAGCACATTGGCGGCGACGTCTTTTTCTCCCTTGGGGCTTGGGCACCTTTTCCCCAACCGCTTTTTTTCAAAACAAAAACGGGGATTTCTGCTTTTGAGAAAGCGGGCAGAAAATTCCAACAACAGAGTTTCTAGGTTTCGAGGTACATTCTGGGACCGTACCTGAGATGCCTGTGCGGAACAAACCCACAAATTTTGAGGAAACCGCGCTAATGTCCAGGCACACCACCACTCATTTCGAGGCATATTCTTGGGCCGCACACTTTTGTCCCACCAACTTCGCGCCGGCCCTCGCACTCACACTCACACTCACTCTTTCTCTCTCTCTCTGACTGCCTCCCTCCCTCCTCCCTCCCTCACTCACTCACTCATTCACTCAGTCACTCACTCACTCACTCACTCACTCACTCACTCACTCACTCACTCACTCACCCGCTCACTCACTCAATCTCTCCGCCCACTCCACCCAACTCCAACCCGCTGCACTCGCTCCACTCACTCCACTCGTCCCATCCACTATCACTCCTCTCGCTCCACTCGCTCCGCCCGCCCCACTCCCTCCACCAGTCGCTCGATCGCTCACTCACTCACTCACTCACTCACTCTCTCTCTCTCTCACTCTCTCGCTCTCTCTCTATTTCTCTCTCTCTCTCACTCACTTACTCACTGACTCACTCACTCACCCGCTCCACCCATTCCACTCACTCCACTCACTCCACCCGCTGCACTCGCTCGGCTCACTCCGCTCACTCCGCTCACTCACTCACTCACTCAATCACCCTGCCGAAAAAATGGATAAACGGGCAACGCTAAAAATTAGTACTGGCAATCAAAATTCTAAATTTAGCACTGCCAGCACTATCAAGTATTGCCAGCACTAAGTGTCGCATTGTCAATTTTAAGATAACTTTCCTGTGCCAAATTTAATGTAGCCAGTACTAATTTTAGTATTGCCAAGACTTAGTGTAATATTATTGCCAGGACTATATTTTGTATTGCCACTAAATATTTTCTTATTGCCAGTATTCAATGTAGAATGGCCAACACTGAATCTAGTACTATTAATTTTCACTTTGGCACAGCAAACATTGGAACGCAAAATAACTCAAGGTAATTCATAGCAATTGCTCGTGGAAGCTGCCTAAAAACCTATCTTTGCGCACGCCGCAATATTCAGAGCAACTGCTCCTTAAAAAGCTTATCTTTCCGCAGCCCTGCATATGGCCAGGCGTGCGCGCAGGTAGAAGCTTCGGAGTTGCACGCAGGAGGTTAAAAGTCCTCGGAGTACTAGTTCGAATATTGCCAGTACTAGGTTAAGTACTGCAAAA